GCCCAGGAGGGTCTCGAACCCGCGGGCTCAGGCAATTCACTCACCTCAGCCTCCCAAAGGCGCAGGATTACAGGATGAGCCACCAAGCCCGGCTTGGAATCTTATTTCTTAACCAAAAGCCAATTAGTGCTCTTTTGGCTAGGGAATTAGTGCTCTTTTGGCTAAGGAGTTAGGAAGGATACCCGCTGGACCTGGACCCTGAGGTTGGCCCATGGTGGGCCCTATACTGCTGGGGTGGGGCATGGCTTGGCTAATATGGGGTGACCTGCCTGGCTCCCTCACAACAGCCACAGACGTTCCCCGAGCTCCGTCCTCTCACCTTCTCGAGTCAGTCTGCTCACATCCAATGACTCCTTGGTCTTCTCTTCTACAAGGGTCTCAATCTCCTTCATAAGGTTCCCGATCTCCTGGGAGATTCGAACGGCTGTTTCCCGTTCTGACCTGCGAGCACAGCCACTCTGAGGATTGTATTCTGGGGCCAGCCCTGAGCTCCACCCAACTTCCCAGACTGGACTTGCCCACCCCTTGCCAGGAGTTCACATCTGCCTGGGCTCGGGAAGCCTCATCAGACCGATCCAACCATGCAGTTTCTCCAAGGTCCTCACTTCTGTTTCTCTTGCAATCTCTTGGGAATCACCTCTTCTGGAGTCCACAAATCCTAAGTAGGTCAGACATAAGTTAACAAGGCAAGGTGACCTGCTTAATCTTCCAGGTCGCAGTGTATAAAGTAGGGCCCACAGGAGAAATCTACCTACCACTGGCCTCCTTTCAGGAGATCCAGTGGAGGTCCCTGTACCTGAGGCACTCCTTGTTGCCTGGTATCCCCATTCATCGTTCTGTCTTTCATCTCACCTTGCACACATCCCACGCTTGGCTCAGCCCCTAAGAGTCTGTCCCAGAGTCGCACAGTGTACCACTCACCCCTCTCCCCGCTCCCTTCCAGCTCCTCACCGGATCCACAAAGGGAATTCCAAAAACATCATAAGCGAAGAAAAGCAGTTCTTTCTCCAGCAGGCTTCGCTGTCGGTACTCCTGGGCAGTCTGAGGACACAAAGGGGAAGGAACCCCCCGGAACTCAGCCCTGTTCTTTAACCCCTGGGAGTGCCCTGCCCTGGCACTCTACATTGATGGTCCCTGTGTGACCCAAGACCTTCTCTCCCCACCATTGCTGCATGTCTGTTCCCCAGTTTGGGACAAAGGTCTCACTTCTGTGTCCAAGGGTTCCTCCTGCCTGGTATAGCAACAGTGCCTCTGTAGGTGGCATAACCAGACTTCCCATAAGGGAAAAACCCCCGTTCTGCCCCTAAACCTATCCCCATTAGTTTCTGGGACAGAAAATCTGGTGATTCTCAGGAGGAGTGGAAATATTCTTCAAAGAAGAATTCCCTCTTGAACTCCTGCAGAAGGAGTTCAATACTGGGTATTGAGCAACCAGTGTTATTAATTTAATCCACCTCTGAGATTGATACTAGTATCCTCATTTTACAGATGAAGAATCTGAGGTGCAGGGGGGATGTGCAACTGTCTAAGGTGACACAATGGAAGATGGGAGAGTAGGGACCTACATGCAAACCAAGGTCTTTGCAGTCCTAAAGCCCATGTGCTTTCTGCTCTGACGCCTGCCTCCCCTCAGAACCTGAGCACACCACACCCCTCCCTGAGCACAGGCAGCTGCAGTGGGAACAGCTGGGTTTGGCACTCTGGCCTTCCCACATGGGCTCCCAGGCAAGGCTTACCCAGGGCAGGGAGACTGAGTACCTTCCGGGGTCACACCTTTTCCTAGGTGCCCTGCTAATCTCCAAGCAGCAGAAGGAGGAAAGAAGAGAAAAGGAAGACACAGTCACTTGAATAAAAGATAAGGCAGTTCAAGGAGGAAAATGTTAGAGGAGGCAATGAATATTAAGTCATATACTCTATTACTCAAGAGGAAGATAGACATCTTCTCCTAAGGAGCTTACATTATTGGCTTCCTTCACCAAGTGCTGTAATATCTTATTTAATCCTCTCCAAAGACCCTATGAGGCTGCTTAGAAGCAAATTCCATTCCTATTCTTTATTCATTTAACACTGACTGACTGAGTGTCAGCTATGTGTCAGGATCTGTGCTTGCACCAGGACAGAGCATGGGACAGAGATTCGGTCACCAGTACTTACTTATTACACCACCAGTTACTTCATCTCTGGAACCCTAAGAGTCCTCATCTCTAAAGTGGGAAGAATGTTGCCTGCCTCGCAGGGCAGATGACATGATAAAATGAGATGATGGATGTAGATCACACAGCACAGAGCTTGCCCAGGACAGAGGCTCAACAAATGTTACCTTCCAGAAGGGGAGTTGTAGTTAAACATGCTACAATGATAGCCGGGCATGGAACATGTGCCTGTAGTTCCAGAAACTTAGAAGGCTGAGGCAGAAGAATTGCCTGAACCCAGAAGGTCGAGGTTGCGGTGGCCGTCAACGTGCCATTGCACTCCAGCCTGGGCAACAGAATGAGACTCCAACTCAAAAAAAGAAAAAAAAAAGCTACATTGAGGCCAAGCATGGTGGCTCAAGCCTGTAATCCCAGCACTTTGGGAGGCCAAGGTGAGAGGATTGTCTGAGCCCAGGGGTTCGAGACCAGCCTGGGCAACTTGGCGAGAACTCATTTCTACAATAAATTTAAAAAGTAGCTGGTCATGGTAGGGCATGCCTGCAGTTCCAGCTACTTGGAAGGCTGAGGTGGAAGGATCGCCTGAGCCCAGCACGTTGAGGCTGTGGTGGCCATGAGCATGCCACTGCACTCCAGTCTGGGCAACAGAGTAAACTCTGACTCAAAAAAAAAAAAAAAGCTACATTGGCCACGTGGGTTTATTTTCCCTCTCCCCCTTCAGACTCATAATAAGGGGAGGAAAAAGGTATTAACTAAGCAAGAGAATGAAACTGAAGTGCCATCTGAAAGCCAGATGGTCACCATCTAGTGGCCAAAGAGGACAACTGCAAGGACAACTCACGTGGGAGGGGATGGTAAGAGGATTCTTTCTGTTGGAAACTCTCAGGATTCCAGAGCTAGGAGGGAAGAACCTGGGTCTTTTTCTTTAAAGCAGTGGTATAGATTCTTCTCCTTGTTTTGGAGTGAGATGAGAAAATACTGAAAGATGGGAAAAACCAACAATGGCAGGAAGAAGGGTGGGGAGGAAAATGGAGACAGAAAACAGGTGGGCAGAAAAACAAACAGCATGAAGTGAAAAAATGATAGATCTTGACCAGATGTTATCAAGTGTCCAAGTAGGGGACGCTGAGAGGGGAAAGAGCATGACTGCTGCACAGTTCTGCTTTTCTATGCAACTCAGGGAACAGACTTCTGGGCTAGATAATGCTAATTAAGGCTCCTATTATTCCCCACACTCCCTGTGCTGCGCCCCTTCTCTGAGTGACAAATCGAGCCACTGAACTCACCCCCAGGCCTGGTTCCCCTGCACTACCCTGCTCCCCTGCCTTCTGGTTTGGGTGCAGCTGCAGCTGCCCTCACAGGAGCAAGTCTCACCTTGCGGGGGCTGATGGATTTAGCCTGTTCTTCTCCAAGCACAGCTGCATAGTAGGCCAGATTCTGGTTCATCACCTCATCGTCAGGGAAGAAGAGGAGATAGGTCTTGGCACATTCGATAGCCTGTGTATAATTTCCAACTGTAAAATGGAAGAGAAAACGGCTGAGGGGAAGGGTTAATCCTGGGTGCCAGGAACCACTCAGTGTTAACTGTCAGCAAAGCTTGGAGCAACGATGACATGACAAGATGGTGCTCCTACTTAACATGATGGCCTGATTTTGGGGGCAGAAGTCATGGAATACAAAGAATGTGTAAATGATTTTAAGGTGTTCTGTGTCCTCAGGGCTGCCTAACATTGAAACAGAAAAGAATCAGAACCTTCTGCATAACCACATTTAAAAATTCACAAACAATTTAAATACCTCTCACCTCTTAATATCTTATCTCCATATACTCAATCATTAGACCAATTTCAAGAATATTTCCCTGTCTATCTACTTTATTTTTCCTATGGATTTTCAAAAGGGGGGCGATTACAATAGCATATTGTCTCTTTGGCAGAACAGTTCCTGTTAGTCTCTTCAACTCAACTGTAAATACAATATGCTTGTAAACATGCTGTAATGCTTAACACACAGTAGGAACTCAAGACTTGCTGACCTGTTGGTTTTCTGGATACTGATAGGCCTCCCAATGAGTGCTATACCAGGGAAAAGGGCCAGAAAACATCCTCTGAGCTAGCTTTAAACAGTAACATATCCTTACTTTTGCTACTACTTTTAACTCAAGTGCAAAATTAGATTACAAATGTTATAGAAGGGACAAGAGCAGGGTCCTGAGTCTCCCTCTCCCAGCTTTTTGGGCTGCTGGCACTAGCTTCCTGCTGCAGTGGCTTGTAACAAAGTACCCAGGGATCACCTGGCATGGTGACTCCTACAGCCACAGAAAGAAGCCAAATGTGTTGAAGAAGTACAGTGGGCATAATCCCTCCCTATCTTGCCTTTAGCTTCTTAGTTAAGGCAGTAGAGAAAGAGGAAGAAAAGCAGGCCTTACAGTTATAGTAGGCAAACTGCAGATAGTTATAATGGGATGGGAGGAAGTCTTCAAAGGGCTTCTCTCGACTTGGGTGTGAAGCAAGCTCGGTGACACAGTTCTGCTTACAGCTGAGGACCTGGACATAATGATCTGAAAGGAATCAGAAAGGAGGAATAACTACCAGGTCACTCTTCAGGATCCACATTCTGGTTAAGATGAATAAATTCAAGCCACGGCAGGAGCAGTCTTTCATCAGATTCCTAGATTTGAGAAATCGAGGAAAGAAGCTGAAAAATGCTGTGTCTCCATTACCAGAATGTTGACCTTAAAGCCGTGGGAGTCCTGGACTCTGAACCTCACGCACCTGTGATGGCCTGGAAGAGGTCAGCGTTGTACTCGAGGTAGTTGTAGCCATCATAGTCATAGGGCCCTTCACAGAGGGCACGGCACTCGTCATCAGCCACGAAGTACTCTCGCAGCGCTGCCTCTAGGTGGGGCACAGCTTCCTGCGGCTGTTCCTCTGAGTAGAGTCTCACTCCCAGTCGAAACTCATGCTACTAGGAGGAAGGTGCAGTCAAACACAGGCCACAGAAGAATCCTCTCTCCTTGTCCTCTGCCACCTTCATGTGGGTCCTAATTTCCTGCTCCTCAGGTTTTATATGGAAAGGGACACCTCAGATGGTGACTACATAATGAAGGCCTTTTGTAAATGGCCTTTACACGTTCCTTTGGAAATTTAAAAACATTTAACTTGCCAGGTTCAGTGGCTCAGCCTGCAATCCCAGCGCTTTGCGAGGTTGAGGCGAGTGGAGTGCCTAAGCCCGCGGGTTCAAGACCCGCCCAGGCAACTTGGCGAGACCACATCTCTAAAATAAATCAAAAATTAGCTGGGCATGGTAGCGCGTGCTTGTAGTTCTGGCTACTTGGAAGGCTGAGGCGGAAGGATCGCAAGAGCCCAGCAGGTTGAGGCTGCAGTGGCCAGGAATGTGCTACTGCACTCCAGTCTGGGCGATGGAGTGAGACTCCAGCTCAAAAAACAAAAAACAAAAAAATATTTAACTCTAAACCTGGATGAAAGAAATCTGGGAGTTTATTGTGATTTTCTTGTCCTCTTCTGTAGGGCTAAAAGTTTTCAGATATACACAATTTACCTTTTTTTTTGAGTCAAGAGTCTTACCTCTGTTGCCTAGAATGAAGTGAAGTGGCAGGCTCACAGCCACCACAGCCTCGACCTGCGGGCTCAGGTGATCCTTCCACCACAGCCTTCCAAGTAGCTGGAACTAAAGGCATGCACCACCATCCCCAGCTAATTTTCTGATTTTTTGTAGAGATGAGGTCTTGCCAAGTTGCCCAGGCTGGTCTCGAACCTCAGCATCCCAAAGTGCTGGGATTATAGGCATAAGCCACCACACTTAGCCTTTTTTTTTTTTTTTTGAGTTGGGTTCTCACTTTGCTATCCAGGCAGGAGTGCAGTGGCATGATCATGTAGCTGGGACTACACGTGAACACTACCATACCCAGATAAGTTTTTAATTTTCTGTAGAGATGAGGTCTCACTATGTTGCCCAGGGTGATTACAAACTCCCAGGCTCAAGCAATCTTTTTGCCTCAGCCGTCCTAAGTATTGGGATTACAGGCGTGAGCCAGCTACTGGAGGGGGTGTGGGCTGAGGTGGGAGGATTGCCTGAGCCCAAGAAGTAGAGGCTACAGTGAGTTGGGATCGTAACACTCCTCTGCACTATAACCTGGGTAACAAAGTGAGACCTTGTCTAAAAAAAATTAATCACTCTTATGTTGTTTCTAATATTCCTATTTCTAAATTAAAACGTAAGGGAACATAGCTCTTTATAAAAATGCTATATTGAGCCGGGATTGGTGGCTCAGCCTGTAATCCCGCGCCTTTAGGAGGCTGAGATGAGTGAATTGCCTGAGCCCGCGGGTTCAAAACCCGCCTGGGCAGCGAGACCTCATCTCTACAATAAATCAAAATCAGCCGGGCGTGGTAGCGCATGCCTGTAATTCCGGCTACTTGGAAGGCTGAGGCAGAAGGATCGCCGGAGCCCAGCAGGTCGAGGCTGCGGTGGCCGGGAGCAGCCACTGCACTCCTGTCTGGACAACAGAGTGAAACTCCGACTCAAAAAAAAAAAAAAAAAAAATGCTATATTGGCCGGGCTCGGTGGCTCAGCCTGTAATCCCAGCACTTTTGGAGGCCGAGGCAAGTGGATTGCCCGAGCCCGCAGGTTCGAGACCCACCTGGACAACTTGGTGAGACCTCGTCTCCACAATAAATCAAAAATTAGCTGGGCATGGTAGTGCACCACCTGTAGTTCCAGCTACTTGGAAGGTTGAGGTGGAAGGATCACCGGAGCCCAAGAGGTCGAGGCTGCGGTGGCTGGGAGCATGCCACTGTACTCCAGTCTAGGTTACAGAGTAAGATTCCAACTCAAAAAAAAAAAAAAAAAGCTATATCATCACAGACAATATCTCTTATGGAACAAACTATCTCCACTAAACAAATAGAATAAGAACACTGGAGAACATTGTACCACTTATTGTAGTGAAATTTAAAAAACCTATATGATCCAAAAAAATGCAGCTAGTAGATTAATATGGTCTTTATATAAGATGGACTATCATGCAACCTTTAAAAATTATTTGGATCAGCCAGGCTTGGTGGCTCAGTCTGTAATCCCACGCCTTTGGGAGACTGAGGTGAGTGGATTGCCTGAGCCCACGGGTTCGA